TAGGTGACATCAGAGCGAACCATGCATGCGGTTCTGGAGATAAGAGAGCTGCGGTGCTCACGCGACAACCTGTAAGCTGGGGATAAGCGTCTGCACTGGATGGTGACGACGACAGAGGCGTCGCGTAGGGCTGGTTTGGCTGCATGGGGGCGGCGACAAGCATTTAGGGCCGCGCCATCCCGGGCCTCGGCGGGGCTTGATAGATTAACCGAACAGGTACCGGGGCGCAAAACTCTGACTAAGGCTGCTCCGATGCGTCCCGTCAACTACACCCAGCGCGGTAATGCACGACGCACCGCTCGGTGATTTGGTCTGGCCGCACTGCAGCTTGGCTGCTCGAAGGGTCATAGCAGGCGCGGCGTGACCGTGGCTTATCTTTGATCCAGGGTTTTGTGGAGTGCATTGCCGAACTTTGCGCCGCCCAATGATATGGGGGGTGAATGTGATTGCTTGGACACGGCTACCATCTACCCCAGGATCCCAAAAGCCTCAGGGGGCACCGGGCACCGTGGGATGTTGCGCCATCATGGCGCGCTTGCCGAACAGCCGTGGTACTCCAGATTAGGAGCGAAGGGAGAATCCGTCGATCAAAGGGCGCAATTGTACTCGGGCAAGTTACTACAGTAAACACATCGGGTATTGGCTATTCGTGGACCCTCCGGCTCTTGGACAACGGACGGAACGGCATGCCACAGCCGTTGTCGGAAGCTACCTGAGGCCGCGGCCTTTGTACACTACTACTCAACTACGCCGCCGTCTTGAGAAACTCATCCACTACATGCGGGTCTTTCTCGACTTCTTGGGCACCTCTGCTTCGCCTGCTCTCCCATGTTTCACCCACGTGGGCGTCTTCCGCCGTGGACTCAGGTGTAAAGGTAAACACGCGATGTTCACCTATAGTAGAGTTAGCTCATACTGCAGACTAAATATAGAGATGTACCGACAATTCTTCCACGCTGTGCCCACCATGGGGTCTTCGACTTCCCAGTCCTCGGTGAGGAAGTGTGCAAATGCGCCATGAGTGACGACCAGGACCTGTTCCATTAGCAAACCGCTGTTAAGAGGAAACTAACGGCAGCTTTACCTGCGCTTCGGGCCTTTGGTACAGCCAGTTCCTCAGATCAGAAGCGCGCTTCGAGATGGCGCGCTTCTCGTACGCCCAATAGTCTTCCTGCGAGACGTTAGTAAGCATGCATGCTGATGTCAAACCGGGAGATCGACTAACCTTGGAGTTCCAGCCCGCTGTCACCGCTGATGCATCAACTTTGCTGATGTCAAAATCGAGCTCACCCTCTGCGAACAGCTTCGGTAGGAATGCGTGGACGTCATCTGCTATATCTGCAATTCCGACATCACATCCAATATTGCTGACTTCTTGCAAGGCTGGCAACAGCACGAACGGCACCTCTTTCCGCGCGAGCACAGGGCCAAAACTCAGTGACGCAGTCTGAATCGTTCGTCGTAGCGGCGACGCAAATACTATGTCTATTTCCTCATGATATTTGAACGCCGAGCTAAGCGTGCGACATTGTTCTTTGCCTTTTTCTGTCAGCACAGCATCGCGAATGCTGTAATTGCGCTGCGGCCAGTTAGTCTTTTTGGGTTCGAGGTTCTTCTTTATGATATGGGACATACGGTCGCGTTGTGTTCTCCTTGCGCATGGCGCACGATATGAATCTTGGGAGACATCGTGGTGTTGGTTGAGAGTTGCTGAATCTGCATTCTACGCTCGATGGTGGGGCTTGCCGAAGGAGCCACTAAAGTGCTATCGTGCAGTGGCGAATCTGAGATTGATGCGTGAAAACTTGGTCTCACTGAAGCTCCTCAGATGCTTTCTGTGTTCAATTCCAGAAGTGATATTGAATTTGGGTCTTGTCTTCTGCTGCGCAATAGCTCTGCGTTGTGTTCGTACTTGAATCCAAAGACACTTCGAGTCTGACACGGAAGGTTAGCCGAGACAGCCAGCGCTAACCATTCCTGGAAATGCATCTCGCAAGCAGCCTCTACATTGGAAGAACAGGTGTAGGACCGTGAATCCTTCGTCGGTAGTGAATATCCAGAACTGAAACCGAGTAAGGCCTCCAGGCTAAACGTTTGACATCTTCGACACGTTGCCGATGATGCAACCGGCTAGTCCAGCTCTGCGGTCAGCCCCTGGCTTACTCCATATCTCTTGCCATCACCAGTTCTTTCTCTCTTATCGTGTTATCGCAGCGCATGCGTATTATCGAAAGTGACTTTTCGGGAGTCATGAATACCTATTGATGAGTGAATGATGCCCATACATGTAAGAGACTGGTTGGAGAGCGTGGAGCACGATCAAATAAAACTGCCGCAGCAAACGGGTCGAACATGTAGAGAACAAATCCGTTCGTGTTGAACTGCTGCCATTGGTATGCGCGATGTGCGCCGCTACTACTGACAAGCACGCGCGTGATGGATGGTGTTGAGTGTTGGAAGTGAGCTGTATTATTCGGAAAGAGCGATGACACTCCAGCTTTAGTTAGCGACTTTCCACGACCGATGTGCCACCATGCCTCTACGCCATCGCGACGTACTCTTTGAGCTGGTCTCAACCACTAAAATGCATTCTCGAGGCGATGCAATTGATGCGACATTCAAGTACAACGCGTAAACCTTGTTCGCGACGGTCGTCCTTGCACCTGCCGCGACACTGAATACGCGCGACGTCGCGACGCGAACGCCGGTCTCCAAGCAAGCTTCGCGCATCCCGCATCGACTGCGATCATTGCCAAAGCCCAACCGGGGCTCCAGAATGTCACTTGTCAAAGCAGCGCAACTTTGGACAGAATAGGGCTCATTCGCACGCGCCCGCTTTTGTGTTGATACGTCATGTTCGGAACGCGTTGTACCTGGGCATCGTGAGTTCCTTCCCGATCGCGCGAGCCAATGCACGTTTTCGGGCAAGCTGGGGCATCGGATCCGCAAAAGACCCCGCAGCACTAGCGCAAGCAGTCTCATCTACCATCCAGGAAGCCTCACCATTATCCTGGACATCATTGAGAGCTTTACGACTTTTGATCACTATTCGTTCAATATGGCAAGCAGCGAGCCTACAGTACTTATCATAGGCGCTGGTACCTTTGGCGCGTCTACTGCCTATCATTTGGGCAAACAGTACAAAGATCCATCTCGGATTACCATCGTCGACCGGTGGGATAGCAATACACCCCTAAAACAAAAGCAAGCGGCAGCCATCGACACTAATCGCATTATTCGTACCGACTACGAGTCACATCTTTACTGCAATCTTGCCAATGAAGCCATTCATTTTTGGTTCTGGAGCATAGCAGTACAGGGGCATTTCCACAAAACCGGTTGGGTCGTGTTAGACAAAAAGAACGGTACTTTTGGCGACGCGATTAGAAAAACATTCGTTGAAAGAGGGGGCGACTACACGCGCGACCTAGAACCGCAAGAGTTGGACAAGTACGCTGTGACGAAAGGCATCAAGGCTGCAGAATATGGAAAGGGCTACTTCAATCGCGAAGCCGGCTGGTGCGACGCGGAAAAAGCAACACAAAGCTTCACGAAGGTTGCATTGGAGCTAGGAGTCAAGAGGGTGACTGGAGACGTGCAAGATTTATTGCTGAGCGCCGACCAACGCAGCCTAGCAGGTGTAAAGCTGAGAGATGGTCAAATTCTGAAAGCCGACAAGATCGTGTTGGCAGCAGGAGCATGGACCAGCTCCCTGATGTCGCCGATCGAGGATGCTTTGAAAATCCAGGAACAAGACCGCATCGAGCGCCAGATCACCGCTGTAGGACGGGTCTCTGCTTACTATACACTGAACGAACAAGACACTCAGAGCATGATCGACGAAACAGTACCTGTAATCGTCATTGGCGGAGAGGTCGACATCATCCCACCCTCGCAACCGAACCGAACGCTGAAGATCAACGACATCAAGACAGAAATCATCAACACGGTTACGACCCCTTCCGGTCATAAAATCACTATGCCATCTCGAAGAAACCAGAACGATGTCCCTGAGAGACTCAAGCGTGAAAGCGCACAAATCATGCACGGTGCTATGCCAGATTGGACACGCAGCAAACGGCCAGATCGATGGCGAATTTGCTACGACGCCGTTACACCAACTGAAGACTGGCTAATGTGTCGACATCCACATGAAAAGCTCGCCAACTTGTACCTCGCCGTTGGCGGTAGCTTTCACTCGTACAAGTAGGTTACTTTACCCTTCATTTCACGGACGCAATGCTAATCATCCCCTCAGATTCCTCCCCGTCGCCGGCGCATACATGTGCAACGTACTCAGTGGTAAGGGCAACGGTGAGGAGAAAGATACGGCCTGGAAGTGGAAGAGCGCCGAAGAACTGTCGTGTCGCAAGGGTAAGGAGTTTGGTGAAAGTCCAAGAGATTGCGATAAGAAAGAGTTGAGTGAATATGAGGAGGGAGCAGCATCAAAGTTATGATCGTTAAGAAGCAATCACAATCAACCTTTTCCGACATCACACGTGGCAAATCTACTGAGGCTTCATGGACTCCACGCTATATGATCTTATTCATTCACTATCATTAACGACAACGATTGGGTCCTTGGTCTTCTGATCTCTCCCATTCATACGAGAGTAGTATTATTCTGGTCTCGTCGGCGATGCGATCATCGTGAGTGGCTTGTCATATTTGCCGTTTATCGAAGGCCTGCTTGCTTCACTCGGGCTTCATTTGCCTTCGAAGGACAAGCAATTGCTGATGGAATGTTGATATAATGAAGCTTGGGTCGCTTTCATGCGGATCGCAGCCTTTCTTAGTGACATGAGTGAAAGAGGGTTGAATGTCGCCTTAGTGGCGCGATCTGGTATAGAACCCTCAAGGCGCATATATACGCGGCTACACTAGCATAGAAGTGTTCACACTGTCACTCAACGACAGCGCAGTCACTCAACTCGCGGTCACAAAAGACTACACAGCGATCGCCAACAGATCAGACTCTCCTTCCATACACGACCTAAGCCATGTCTTCTACCGAGCAAGATGTCGGTAGCAACGACAACAGTGACAAAGATCGCGCCATCATCAAGCCCAGCGAAGGCACCTGTGGAATTTCACCCGACACCGACATCGTCACCGTGGACGAAGAGGTCGCCGAAGATCAAGAAATGGAAGACAGCTACGTGTTCGTCGAAGCTGACTACCATTCCTACACTGACGTGGAATCTTCCGTCGCCGAAGGCTCGAATTCGGACTGTGAGCTTTCAGAGCGTGAAGAGAAGGGCGATGTAGACTCCAAGAGCGAAGCTGGCAAAATGGAAGAGCAGAATGGTGGTGTGAGAAAGGGGTTTGTCAAGGGAACGGCGGAGAAGAAAACTTCCGGTACTCAAGGTGATGGCGGCAAGGATGATGCAGAAGATCTGCCAGAAATTCTGCCAGAAATTGTGAAGGTAAGTCAAAATTCGATAACCACGCATCAAGTTGCTGATGAGAACAGACTGTGTTATCACTGTTTCTACGCTCGATCTACGGGCTTGATCTTGCAGGATTGAGCAGAGATTCGTGGCGGAGAAAGCCCGGCATGCGAGACGAATAGCAAATAACCGAGTTCAAGAGGAGCGGGAGGTATGAGTGGCGCGTAGTCTATCATGTATTGTACTGTTTCTCGCTGCCCCCCTACAGTGGCGAGCACGGACGTAGGCACAACCTAACGTCATGGTTTAGAAGGGTCGTTCATGGAAGAGAAAGCTGAGTCGTATACTGCATATCGCATCATCTTGGCATTGAATCGCGCCCCATGCACTGACCTACTTGCTATCATGTACCAAAGCGATGGCCGGCCTAGGAACAACACTGGGATCTCTACCACACATAGTAACTCAACTCCGCTAATACATACAGAGTCTACACTGTTCTTAACAAGAGGGTGACCATCATGCCGCGCCTAACGAAATCTCACATGAACGACGACAACAGCCAAGAAGACTTCACCCAGCTCGTCGACGGAAAGAAAGTCGTCGCCCTCCCCAACGATACTCTGCCTCGGCACCCTGATGGCAGCTACGTGTTCGTTCGCGACGAGACTGCTAAAACCATCGAAGTAAGCATACAAGCGCCCCTTCAAAGCTCAATCATGCATACTAACGCTTCCGTCTAGGACAAAAGCGCACAAGACATCATCGCCTACTACGCCAAAATCCTCGCCATCGAAACAAAATCGCGACCCCATCCAAGCCTAACATCGAATGCAATCATCGATGGACTCGACACCCTACGCATCTGCTCCGAGATCTTATCCGACAATCCTACTAAACCTTCTTTCGTCGCGGAATACTTGCACATGCTAGAGCCGCGACACCAGCTCAGTCTCTCCATCGTTCTTTCCATTATTCTCGATACAGACGACTGGATGAATCTCGAGCGTGAGCTTGTTAGAGACGAGGAGTTCGAGATCTCGGTGGTGATCTGGGCGCTAAAGATTGGGCCTGAGGGGCTAATGCTGGGGAGGGTGGAGGGGAAAAGCGAGATGCAGATTTTGTTGGGGGCGGAGGAGGCGTGGATTGTGGTGAATGAGGGTAAAGTGGAGTATGAAGAGAAGAAGATGGAGTTGAGGCGGGTTGCTGCGGAGGTGACGATGTGGGGGAGGGGCGCGGCGGGGATGTTTGCTAAGAAGGGTCGAACTGAAGATGACGACTGAAGGATCGATGGGACTTCCAGGCCAGGGCACACATGTGCTTCCTGGCGCTGGTCAAGTTCGATATTTGGTCTTCATGTTTGCCTTAGTCGACGAAGCGTGTAGGATCAAGTTTTACCTTTGTTTGGAAGTCAGCTTGCGTTCGAATAATTGCTGTAGCTTGTAGCCAACAAGGATACTCCCAAGCATATATTCTTCGAGTACGATTGATGGCGTTCTTCCGCTGAAGCCTGAATGTCTGTACGAATGAGTCCCTGATCTGGTCATTTGCGCATTGCGAGAGAGTGCGATGCAGACATTCACCGCACCCTTCTCCTTCTGGAAGAAAGCTCTCAGTCCATGGACCTCTTCCAGACCCACTTGCTGAATGACACTCCCTAGCTGAATTCTCCTCCTCTTGTGCTATATAAAACGTCACTCACAGCTCCGCGCCCTGATTCGGTCAACACCTCAACTTTCTTCATAAAGTATAATACCAACCAAATCATACTCGCGACGAATATGCCTTCTTCCAAAATACCAGAGACTGATGATAGCGTCAGTAGCAAGGGCGCTGCAAGTATCACCGACGACGTTGAAGATACGGACGACTTCGTCCTCGTATCCCCTGGCGACTACCCAGAGGCATTCGCACCTTCTTCCACTGCTGCGAAAGATGTCTGGACCGAGATTATCAAGATCACCCGGACTGAAGACAGTCTTTTCGAGAAGGTCAGCACTACCCTCCTTGGCCGTTGAAGCCTTCCAACTGACATGATACAGGGCGAAAAGCACGTCACCGCCGTCGAGACCTGCCGGTATCACCTCCGCCCCGCCGAATGCCTCAAGACCTGCAGTAGCACATTCAAATGCGATGCTTGCCTCTCACTCATCGCCGGTCTTGAGACCCTCGCAAACTGCGCCTGGGAGTGGTCCAACGACAGCAAACCCTTCCAGGATAACATCAGCAACATCATGCATTGTCTGCACCGCCTCCCCTTCCATTTCCAGGAAGGTCTCTACAGCGTCATTGAAGCTGTAATGGACCACGAAGAGAACTGGCCTACGGCGGACCGAGAGAACTACGAGTTGTGGGGGTTCAAGATCTCTGCTGCTTTGTGGTTACTTCGTCTGGGTGTTCATGGTCTGGCTTGGGCGCTGGCGGAGGGCAAGGAGTGGCGTCTTGTGCTGGCTGAGACGGAGCGGTCGTGGTATGAGGGACTTGTTGTTGCTGACGAGTACGAAGAGGCTATTGAGGAAACGAAGCGTTTTACTAAAGCCTTCCGGAAGTGGGGCGCGAGCGTTGATGCTGAGCGGCGCGCTCAGTCTTCGGCTTAGTTCGAGATGTGGCGGTGACCATACTACAGACAATGAGCGATCTTTGTTCACATTATCATACAAGCTGCGACTACTAGCTTTCAAGTAGAAAACAATGCTGCGCAATTGGAATAACTTTCCATGAGACTTCAAGACGATGCACAATGACATTGGATGGACTGGGTGATGTGACAAAATGTTGGATGTTTGATCATGGTGTATTTTGATCCACTACGCACCTATGATACCGTCTACTCCTTCACCTTGATGACAACCTTTCCAAAGTGACCTCCGCTGAAAAGGTACTTGATCGCTTGATCCGCCTCTTCGAACTTCCAAACACGGTCAACTACCGGCTTGATCTTCTTCTCGTCGTAGAACTCGAGCATTCTCTCGAGCTCAGTCCTAGGACCGTTCACAATGCCCTTGAGTGTGACATTTCTCTTCAAGCACAACAAGTTTGTGTTCGTCCTGTCGCCAGCCTCATCTTGCTTGCCGGATAGGTAGCCAATGCAGGATATCAGACCACCAAAGCGTACGCACTCGAATGACTTGCGGAGCGTTTGCGCACCGCCGACTTCGATGATGATGTCAGCGCCTTCGTCGGAGGTAGCAGAAAGGACTGCGTTCTCCCAGTCGGGAGTGTTGCGGTAGTTGATGGTTGTCTTTGCGCCAAGCTTGGATGCGCGCTGGAGCTTCTCGTCGGAGGAAGATGTGACGATGGCATCTGCGCCTGCTGCGGATGCGATCTGGGCTGCTGAGATGCTTACACCGCCAGTACCCTGGCACAGGACCTTTTCACCCGGTCCAATGATCTCGCCATTTGGTCGCATACAATTCAAGCTCATCCAGGCGGTTACAGCTGCGATTGGCAAGCAAGCCGCTTCGTCATCGGATAGATAATCTGGAATCTTGACAACGCCATACGTGGGGAACACACGGTACTGCGTCAACACTCCAGGGGCAGGTCCGCCTAGGCCACCCGCGATGTCTGAGGCCTTGATTTGACCGCTGAGATGCTTCGGCGCAAATGTACTGATGACCCGGTCGCCTTCCTTGAGCTGGAAAGCTGGGTTCTTGTAGGGGTCGGAAGTGTTGTTGGAGACTGGGCCAACCGCAACAACTACACCGCACATGTCGCTGCATGGGACAATAGCGGGGGGATGTTCTACGGACTTGTGGTGGTTGTAGAGGCCCATGGCGACTGTCCACGTATTTAGCGTTGTTCAAATGGCCGTCTGGACCCTGCCACAAAAGTAGGTGTGACCACATCCCACTGTACGTACCTTCGGTATCCCTGTAGTTCAGACTCACGGAATGGACTTCAACCAACACCTCGTCTTCGCCAGGAGCCGGGCAATCCGCCTCGCCCATCCTGAGCTTATCGAGCCCGTCCTGGCCCGTGAGCCATTGCTTGATCTTTTGTGGAGGCGTCATCTCGAGATCTCGAACTGAAAGTTGAAACAGAGTCGAAAGCTTTTGGGTTGCCAAATCGAAGGTTTACAGTTGACGTAGATGTCGTGTTCTTAATGTCTTTGGGTTTGCGCTGGGAAAACAGTCCAGAAATTTCGCTCAGCCAGTCTCGGCGGTCTTGGGAGAAGGGTGGGGTGGGCATCCCGGGCAGTATCGTCTACTTAAGGCCTGGATTTGCTATGTAAGCTGCAAGAAATGCAGATGGTGGATCTCGAGCAGCGGGCAGAAAACCGCCGAAAGGTGTGGGGATGGGCATTATTTCTATGTGTCGTTGCGATGACGATAGGGTGCTCACGGCTGGTCATCGAGGTGTTCGTGAGGAGCGTCACCGCATTGGCCGTCTTCGCCCGATGAGCCGAGGTAGGCAGGGTGTTGTCGGAAAGCGCGAGCCGATGCCAGCCTACAACACCACGACCTTTCTCACGAGATTCAAGAGCGCATGGAAGAAGCCACCGACAACTTCAATCTTCAATTTTTGCACATCGCGCACGGTGCTGTCTGCTAGGGTGAAACCTGGATCTTGCCAGATGATGCAGCATCCCTGATGACGCGCTACGATCGATCGACCCCGGAAAGCGGGAAGTCTCAGGGGTACCGTCTGGAACAAGGCCATGACGATGCTGGTGACCACTAGATCGGAAGATAACATGCGATCGGGAAAAATGACATGCGATCGTTCCGGAACGTCTTATTTTATTATTGTATTGAAACTGCGCACGGCTCGTGGGGTTCAGGTACGATATTGGAGCTGCCACGCGACTTAGCGCGTGTGGGATGGGAAGAGAGCATGACGACATGCGATACTGTGATATAAACGCGACGCGACCCTCTGGAAAGAAGCCAGCATCTCATCCACTGCAACACATCGCATCAACATCCTCAACCTCTTCGACATCTTCGCCCCTTCATCAACATGAGGCCCCAACTACTCTACTCTGCGAGCCAGGAGGCCGTTCCTCCGCCACTCCAGAACTTCTTGAGCCCTGAGTTTGCGCCTGCTCTCACTGTGATGGAGCAGTTCGAAGCGGACCTTTTGCGCATGGACGAAGAGCATCTCCAGCATCGCGAGCGAGCTACACCCGAAGTTCCATCCACATTCCCTGACGATGGACTACCAAGCGACTCCACTCTATTCGGCAGAGTGAGGACATTGTACCGGCGGTTCTCCAGCTTCTCCCAACGCAGCAGCAGCCGTGCGAGCGACGCCAGTCTCTGAAAACAAAACATGATATCGTCATGCAGGTACAAGCGTTCGCATAGTCGCACGCACTAGTCGCTGTCCTGTCCCCATCGACCCGGGCCGCCCTTCAAAGCCATGCGCTATGGCCACCACAATCTCATTCCCGGATCGAACAAGCATCGTCAGGCAGCATCAACTATAGGGAATCGCATCCTGAATGCGCTCAGCCCGGCAAGCCTCAACTCAAAAGCAGATGCATAGATTGCACACCGAGCTACCGCCAACCCGCGACCCGTGTTATGACATGGACCATTGAAGCCGCCAGCCGCAGCCGCTAGTCGGCTGTCCCGCTGTGTCGATATCGATCGCGGCTCGGGAACCCGAGGCCCGCGTGGAAGAGTGGTTGGTTGAGAGGAAGGTCAATGACGTTGACACAGTCGATCTGTCTCGTCACAATTGACACACCTGCTTCAGTGCAGGCACTCTCCTTATTGGCTATCAAGGAGTGACAGTCGAGCGTCGGGCTGGTCCTGATACATCCCGCTCTGCTCTTGCGCCCAGCATGGGCCTGGCTAATCGCCACGCCATTCGGAGAGCTCAACATGGCCTTAAGTGGAGACTGAGAACTATGAGGCAGATGTAGATTTCTAATGGTGTACGCACCGTTTGGGATGCATGAATGTTGGCTGGATGTGTCCGGTGTTATAATGTCTAATTACCATTTCAATTTCAACCTACTCGGCGTCTTCTAGTACTCTTGGTACGCCGTCGCAATCACTTCACCGTTCACTATGAATTCCGCGACACGAGATAGACTACCACTCTGGTTGAATGTCATGATCCGCTGCTCGAACAAGCGTATTGCGCCTTCCGGCTCATGAAGACGTGATGATCGTGACGTGCTATGTGAGCGCATCGGCATCAGGCAACTCCGCCGATTGCCGTGAGCGTCTAATGATCGTCAGATTCGATGGGATAGTGGTGAATGCAATGTACGCAAAGCCCGAAAAAATGTTAAATCAGTGTGAAGGCTTTTAATACACCTCAACATCAA